GGACATTCAATGCTCCAAAAACTCCAGATGGGACTCGGGAATTCCCCTTCTTGCACATAGTGTTAAGCTCTTAAATTTTTATGAACTTTCTTTTATTCCGCCCACCTTTCTTTTCAGTTTCTCAGTCAAGTTCATTGTTTTTCAGAAGATAGTATTTTCAAAAGGAACACTGATCCTGAAAACAAAACTTTTCCGTGCTCTTAGGCAAGAGCCAGCATTATTTTGAGTTGTTTCCAGATTTTACCTAATGTAACTAGTGCTGCAATAAACATAGGGGTGCATGTATCCTTTTGAATTAATATTTGTATGCCCTTTGGGTGGACCCCAAAACAAAACAATTATAAGCCAGAGATGCCCTACAGGGGAGGGGGTCAGAGAGCGACTGGAAGGAGAGAGAGAGGAATGCGGAGGACTGGGCGATGATGGGCGGGTGAAGTGGGGGAGAAAGGAAGTAAACATTATTTTAAATAGAACAATAATGTAAGTACATATATAGATTAATAAAAAAGTAAGAAAAAGAGCCCGAGTCAGGTTGTGTGAAGCTACAGTGTAGACACTCACTGAGACACATGGTTATTTACCTTGATAATCCTGGTGTTAGAAAGAAAGCTGAGCCTCCAAAATGGATTAAAAATTAATCCAGGCTTACTCATTTGCATTGTCCCTTAATTGTATTTAACTCTACATCCCCAGTTGTGAAACACAGCAGGGTATATTTGTCAAAGAATGAATGGCTGTGTTTATAAATGAGTCTTATTATCATTTATGGCTGAAAATATCATTGGTTACTCACTGAACATGCAAAAATAATGACTGAATTCCTGGTAGGTAATTATTTTCAAACATTATTCCAAACTGTCTGTTTCTGATGCTCACCCTATCCCTTTGACATACTCCACTAAGAGCTGATTTTTTTTTTTAAGATTTATTTATTTATGCTCAGAGAACTGGGGAGTACAGGCCAGAGATGCAGAGGGTTAGAAGATTCACCAGAGACACAGTGGGGAGCAGAACAGGCTGACTGACAAAGTACACTGCTGAGGGGAGCAACAGGCGGGTCAGGAGAGGTCTGCTACACCATGAAGGTCACCTTGGGGCAGAGATCAAACTCATGCTGAAGTGGCTTTAGCTTCATAGTGTTGTGCTTTAACCTGCTGCGCCACCAGGGAGGGCCCAAGCTGGTGTTTCTTATAGTCCTAATGTAACCATAGTTCCCTAAGGGCTTCCTGGGAGAACAGCTGAAAGTAAGCATTACAATTCAAGCATTTAAAGGGTGGGCACACTGAACTCATTGGTGTGATTCCCTAGAATCGAAATGAGATAAAGAGGCCATGGTTACAGGGCAGATATTGTAATTGTCTTAAAACACATGTTGAGGACAGCTTAATTTTTGTGTATGTGTTTTTTAAAAGCTGGAAAATGATACGGTGGCAAGGGTTCTGCAGAAATAGACCTTAGCTCCTGGCTAGGAAGAACGTTCTAAAAATTAGACATGTCTGAATATTAGTAAATTGCTTCACACCAAAAGTTTAGCCTTATGGGAGGGCTTTGAACCAAACAAACCACCTTTTACCGCTGGGTAACACCAGAGATCAAAACGTAGAGCGGAGAGTGGGAATTGTAGGAGCGCTTTCATTTCTAAGATGGCTTCGTGGTCTCCTAGATCCTAGGATTTGTTCAGTTATTCAGGAACTTAGTACAAATGGATCCTCCTGGGTTCCCTGCCTTTGTGATTATCCTTAGGAAAAGAGCAGTAGTTGAACCTGGAATTCCATGAATCTGTAGGAAAGAATCACTAAGAGGACAGACTATGAGGTATTTCTCCATTTTATAATGGAGTCACTGAGGAGAAAGTTTGAGTTGTTTCTCAAGCTGTTTGGCCATCAGAAGAGAGAAGGAATTATTTCCACTCCAGACTCTGACTGTGTCCTGGGCACCAAGAGTTCTGCCTTCTCTGGTTGCAGAGCCTGAAACATGCACCAACGTGGGTGGAGAAGCAGTCATGGCACTGCCTTTCCCTTTGAAGGAAGAGAATGACTCCACCACACTCAACCCAAGTTGACTTGCAAAGATTTCTCTCACAGAAATCTGTGTGTGAAGCCACTGACTAATATTCAGACATGTCCACTGTTTGTCCCTCTTCGCACGCTTGCATTTAGCGATCACCTACTACAGGGAAGACATTTGGGAACTATTCTTCACCTGGATGGAAACAGCATACATAAATTTGAACACAAGCACATTGGCATTTAATTTTCCTTGAGTTTACCTATTATTAACTTCAGAGTTTGACATTCGTATGTCAAATTCATTTCCAACATAAGTCCTGGCCAAGGAGACCCTTTGTTGCACCAGTACATCACTCTGTCTATAATAAACAGAGAGGACAAGGCATGCTGAAATACTCCTGCTGAAAAATCTTTCTTCCAGTTACTCAAAATTATTGGTTGAGCTAAAGTACTGGTGATTTTGTAAATGCACAATTCCAAAATTGGAAAAAGGTTTTGCCTATTAAAAATGGCGTTCACACTACAGGCACATCCAGGGCAAGAAGAAACTAATTCATGAAAGAAGAAAATTCAAGGCACCCAATCAAAAGAGAGCCAAGAGCTGATAGTAAATTTCATGAAATCACTGTATACACAGGCATAAAATCTTGGACTATTGTCTTCACAAAGTAAAACTAGCAAATGCCCCCCTACCAAACAATCGGGTGTATCTGGCTTCACCCTAACAAGGGTGAAAAGAGAAAGGACCCACCGTTCAGTAGAAACAGCCCCGGGTTCCATCCCCTCTCAGAGCCTCAGAATGGGGAGGGGAGAGAAGAAAGAAACTAATTCTCCATAGCCTCAGTGAGACGCATGGAGCGGCCACCCTCCACACTCCGTCTTCCCCACCTCTCTCCCCTCCAAAGGACCACGTGAAGGTGCCCAGGAGAGCCTGGGCACCACCAGGGCAGTCAGGAAAGGAGTGCTGGGCCCCTGGCCTGGCAGTGAAAATCAGCAAAGTCTTCTTCAGACTCTAAGAATCACACCTTAAATCTGATTGTCCATTTATTTAAAGGATTCCACTCTTCTATTCTGAGGAAGATTTAGATCCAAGCAAGAAGGAGAGAAGGAAGGACGGATTCACAATAGAGAAAGAATTCTATCAGCTTTAGAGAACTTTGATTCAGGATAGAGGCTGCCCTCCCAGGGACTCCAAAAACAGCTAATAATTCACGAGGTGACTCGCACAGATGACTGGGCTTGTCCATGACTACTGTGCACACTTGTAAACTCAGTCAACAAAAGAACATTTGCTGGTTTCTTTTGTCTATAAAGAGTCTGATTAATAGCTGAGAGCGAGGGCGTGTCTCTGTCTACCGTCCCAGATGTCTGACCACACATATCATGGTATGTGCTAACCCCTGGGTCCCTCCCTCCACCTGCCCTTGCACGTGAGTCTGTGCTGCTGCACGACTCCATCCGGGGCGCTTCACCTGGGGTGCAGAGTATTTTGAACCAACGGACCTATGGCTGATATTTGACAGGCTTTTGGACGTTTAAAAAATAGATAGTTAAACTATAGTATTTGCGCATGGATCCTTGAGATGTGGCCCTTGCAAATTGCATTCTAGAAATGCAGAGTTCAGGCAGCTTTCCCAGCCTCTCTGGGGCCTGTCCGGGGCTTGACTCCACAATCCCACTTCTTTAGTAAACTAGATAAACTAGATTTAAGTAAACTGACTTGGTACCTGTAAATGTAACTTCATGTGTAACAAATTAGTAACACTGAACCAAATCAGATTTATACTTAAAAGGTGTTTCTTTTTCCAGTCCTTGCTTTGCCCGTCTAGGAAAGAAAGTACCAAGTGGAGAGAAGCAAGTGCCGTGTCTGGTGTCATATATTTCTTTAATTTGATAAATAGAGAACAAACTTTGAAACTACACCGCATCTGAAATAATATACTGCAAAAAAAAAACCTAGTAATAGTGAAAAGGTATTTGATCTTTCAAAACTATATACATTTTGTCTCTATGAAGGAGAAACTAAACATATAAACTTGAAATTAATGCAATGTTCTGGTTGACCCTCCCAACCCCAGATCCATATTTTAATTTTTTTAAAGATTTATTTATTTATTCATGTAGAACTGGGGTACAGGCCAGAGATGCAGAGGGTGAGAGGATTTCACCAGAGACAGAGTGGGGAGCAGAACAGGCAGATCGACGAAGTACACTGCCGAGGGGAGCAGCGGGCGGGTCAGGAGAGGTCTGCTGCGCCCTGTGGTCACCTCCGGGGCAGGCGGGGATCGAACTCATGTGGAAGTGGCTTAAGCTTCTCAGTGCTGTGCTTTAACCCGCTGCGCCACCAGGGAGGGCCCATATTTTAATTTTTTACAAATTTTTCCCAAATGTTGTTTATTGACATAAAATGAGTTTGCAACTTTGTATCTGCTCTGGGGGTTATAGGTTCAAAACTCCACAGATTAATATTTTCACACCCTGCCCACCACCTAGAGTACCCCAACAATCTTCCCCTTGTTCCTCTGGGCTCATTTCCTACCCCACTCCCATGCCGCCACCTCCACCCCCTTCATTGCCTCAATTTTGCATTCAGAGGTTGTTAGCTTATTGTTAATTTTGTTGTGACTGACTTTCGCCATTTCTCTGCACCCCCACAAGTAAGTGAGGCCATTCAGTGTGTCTCTCCTTCTAGCTTATTTCACTTAGCGTCATCCTCGCCATTCCCATCTATGTTGTTGCAAAAGGCAGGAGTTCATCTGTTTTACAGCTGAATACCATCTTTTAGATATAAATACACCATTTTTCCTGATCCACTCCACTGTCCCCCGGCACTTAGGCTGTTTCCGTAGTTAGCGATTGTAAATAGTGCTGCAATGAATCACATAGGAGAGCATGTATCTCTTGGACGAGTATTTCAGTATTCTCAGGTAGATCCCTAGGAGTGGAATTGCTGGCTCATATGGTTGATCCGTTTTTAATATTTTAAGAAACCTCTGCACTGTTTTCCATAGAGGCCAGACCAGTCTATACTCCCACCTAAAGCATATGAGTTCATTTCCTCCACATGCTCGCCAATACCTGTTCCTCGTCTCTTGTGTCATTCTGAAGGGTGTGAGATGGTATCTCATTGTGGCTTTGATTTGCATGTCCCTATGATACTGATGATGAGCCTTTTCCATGTGCCTGCTGGCCATCTGTCTGTCTTCTTTGGAGAAGTGTCTGTTTAGCTCTTTTGCCAAATGTTTGACTGCTTTCTTTGTGTTGATCTGTATGTGTTCTTTATATATTTGGGGTGTCAGTTCTTTGTCAAAAGTATTACGTGCAAATATGCTCTCCCATCTGGCAGGTTGCCTTCTGTTGTGCAACAGCGCTTTAGTGTGATGTGATCCCAATTGTTTAGCTTCGCCTTTGCATCACTGTCATTGCAAGTGCGTCCCCAACAACGTTTCTGAAGTCAGCAGCATGGAGAGTTTTGCCTGTTTTTTGTTCAGTGTATTTAATAGTTTCTCACAGCCATGTCTTTAATATGATATTGAGTTAATTTTTGTGTAAGGTGTAAGATGGTGTTTCTATCTTTTTCTTTTTTTTTTTCATATAATCAAGTGCATATTTGATGAGACCCTGCATTAAATGCTAATGGTTTCTTAGGTCAGCAAGGGAAATGACCCTTCACATTTATTTCGAACAATTGAGCTTAGTCCCTGGGATTTAGGTGAAGCTGGAGTGTCTGTGACAAGTATAGCATTTCAGGAATGACCCCCAGGTCTGAGTCTACATTGCCGTCACTATCGGACACTCTGTAATTCCCAGATGATGTCCAGATCTGTGTGCAAGAAGTGGTTATGGGGGAGTGGTGGAAATGAGTGAGGGTAGATAGACGGGATTAGAAATGGCAGATGGTGTAGAAAGACTAAGAGCTGAGGTGGGGACAATCAACCAGGTGTCTGAGAAGAGTCAAGCCACCAAAATCACCTGCCAAGCACTGTTAGAAGGAAGTAAACGCAAAGGAACCCTCCCTTGCTTCCAATTGATCTCAGATCTGTCACTGGCAGTGGTTCCTTGATAGTGCAAGCACAGTTATAATAGAAACCAACTGAATTTTCAAGGGCAGGAGACTTTGCCGCTAAACAAGATGATGTCACCCTTCCTGATGACAAACAGGAATGGGTGGTCAGCTCTGAACACTGTGGACTCAGGGAGCTGCTTTTCCACAATGTTATTTCCTGTGGCAGCTGCAGCCTCCGTCCCATCCTCCGTCACCTCAATGTAGGACTTGTGCATCAGCTTGGACAAATACAGGCGGCCTCCGGCAGCAATTCCAGAGAGGTCAGCTCTGGATTCATCGAAGATGTCCTTCAGCCCCAGGGCTTGTAAATCATGCTTGAGTTCATAGTTTTTTTCTATCTTGAACTGTGGAAGGAATACCTCCACATACTGAGGCCTCATTTTCTTGGGATTGGTCCAGTCCATTAGATTCCGGAAGCTCAGTTTGCTTTCGATCTGGAGGAATAGGGGATGGGCAGTTAGAGCCGTGCTCCTCAGAAGCACATGAAACAACGACTAGAAAAATACCTGACTTTCCATCATTATCTGCCATCACTTATGTGTGTGTGTGAATGAGCCCCCGGGGTGTCTGGAAATGGCTCAGTTACTGAAACAAGTAGCCCGAGCACCCTTTGCTAAATCCCATTTCACTTGTTTGGCTCTGCAGTTCAGGGCATGTCTGTAGCCCTGCTCACAAGTGAGCACCTAAAGCCAAGGCGGAGTGATGGCCAGAGAGAGAAAGAAGCTCATGATTGTTTAAATGAGTGTTTCCTGGCCATTTTCTCATCAGGAAAGCCTCCGTAAATGATAATGCTTGCTCAGCTTGCAACTCCAGCTTTCGGGACAAGGAGCCCGGCGCTCCAGGCTCCAGGGGTGACCAGTACCTCTCCACATAGTCACCCCCAAGGCCTGGGAGCCAGAGACAGTGGAAACAGCCCAGGAGCACTGTAAGGAACCATAGTTAGTCCTCCAGCCCACACCCCTCTTTCCTGCCAGCACTCTGCTCCCCCATGTGATTTACACATTGAATTCACCAACTCTTAAAAGCTGAGCACACATTATTCCAGGCTGACCATGAGGAGGTTATTCATGGTTGTTGCTTTCAAACCTGACATCTGGACACTTCTTGAATTCAGACTCACTGAATCCTAAACAACTTTTCACAGCTATTTAACTGTACTTGTATTGTTTTCAAGGACCTAATTTTATATCATCAAATTTAGTGTCATTTAAATTTTCTGTGCATATCCAGTTTGTGGATATTTTACAAAACTATCCGGTTTTCAATCAAAGTGACAATGTTTTCCTCACTTGATCTACCACACAGCCAACACTCTCATCTTTACTTAGTTAATGTAGAATTAGGTACATCTCGAGCATTTTAAAAATCTGATCTATATATTGGACAATCGATTATAGAAAAAAGAAAAGCCCAGAACATAAATGGAAGAACGAATCTCTCTTCTGAAATACACGATTGTTTTATCTGAACTACTTAGCTGTGTTGCAGATTCTTTGCAGTTGAAAAAGGGAAAGCTGTAAAATCTGACTGCTATGCTTATCAACTTATTTTTGACTTATGAGTAACAGGAGTTCATGTTGCTACACTCTAGATTTACCAGCACCAACTTCCTAACAGCTTCCTGACTGAGCCTATCAAATCAGATCACGTGACTCAAGCGCAGAGCATTTGGCACTTTTTGGGTTTTTAAGAGTTATAATGTATGGAGAGTGACATGGCTGACAATCAGCAAGCTTAGTAAACACCCCTGCTGGTGGAAAGTAACAGAAAGGAGGTGGGATCCCTGCTGCTGAGACAGGATGCAGAACGCTGGGAGGGACCCAATTCACTGGGAGAAGAAGAAGCAGGCTGACAGCAAATCAGGGTCTGTGCTACCGCCATGATCTCTGTTTTGTGGGGGCCCCCTGGGCTGCACTGGTGCTTTGCTCCTGCTGCACTCCTCACACGGCAACCCCCTAACTCTGCTGCTCCTGGGGGCACCACATAGAATGAGACCATACATTGTAACTCTCAAAGACCCAAAAACTGCCATTTGACTCCTGCTGCCTAAAGTTCTTAGCTAATCAAACACTCAACAATACACCAAAAGAAAAAAGTTTTCTCTGCTAAGGGCAAGGAAGATTGAACCTCATTTCCTGTTGAGGTTCCAGAAGGCTCCAACTTTAAAAAATCTTTAGTAAAATCTCAACAGCTACAGCCATGCCTGGCACATAGTAGGGCTCTAAAGATTTGCTAAATCGGTGAGTAAATGCACAAGTCTCTGATATGCGAAATGGCCCAAAACCTTAAAATTGATGGATGACATAATTAACAGTATCCTAAAAGCCTTCCCCAGCAGTGACAGTGACAGTAGCAGCTTACTTGGGAGAGCTCGTTGTCAGGCAGCATTATGTACATGCTAACGCCACCGAGATACTTGAGTTCAAGGACCTGCATCGGTGGGTCATTAATGATCGATAAGTTGAACTTCTGTTCTTGATGCATCATGGAGACTGCTTTCCCAGGACACTGAAAGTCAAGTCACCAAAAAGGAAATTAGAAGCCCACCTCATTTCACTTATTAACCTTGTGCAATAAGATCAGTGCTCCAATTGGTGCTCAGATGCTCCTGAAGAGTTTTTCTTGACATATCGCAAACAGCGGCTGTGCTAGGCACATCTTCATGGTAAAAGCACAGACTTTGCGTGTAACTGTCTGAGTTTAAAATTCCCCAGCTGTGTGACATTGGGTAAATTACTTCACCTCTCTGTCTCCACTTCTTCCATAATCGTCTCTGCTGCACGGGATTATTTTAAGAATTATGTGGATTAATATATCTAGCATTTGGAACACTGCCTTAGTGTTCTACCTGAAAATGACTGTGTAATAAGTAATGTATAATTTTTATATATTGTTAAAATTAAAAATACATGCTATCGGTTTTTTCTTTCTCTCATCAAAAGTAAAATGCAGATTAGGTCATCAAAAACACACCACTTAGGGCCCTCCCTGGTGGCGCAGTGGGTTAAAGCACTGCACTGAGAAGCTAAAGCCACTTCCGCATGAGTTCGATCCCCGCCTGCCCCGGAGGAGACCACATGGCGTGGCAGACCTCTCCTGACCCGCCCGCTGCTCCCCTCAGCAGTGTACTTCCTCGATCTGCCTGTTCTGCTCCCCATTCTGTCTCTGGTGAAGTCTCTCACTGCCCCTGGGTCTCTGGCCTGTACCCCAGTTCTGTATGTACAAATAAATAAATCTTTAAAAAAAAAAAAACACCACTTAAGAATGAAATCCTACAAAAACAAATTAATCCTGAAAAAGACTTGACAATATCCTTCAAATTACTTGGGGGTGGGGGAGGCGGAAAGACCTAGTTGCTCTTATTTTGAAGATATCATTTACAGATTTGAAAATACCATACAGGTATGATAGGTCATGTGTTCCTACAAGGTATTATGATGCTACATACTTGTCGTCTTTTCTAGTCTTCCTTTAGGACAGAAAATTCGACAGAGGGTGGTAGATAATTATTTTTGTATGCCCAAACCTCAGAAAGAGCACACATGAAGCAGTGAGGATGAAAAGTATCCAGTGTCCTAAATCATAAGATTGAGCTTGGCACGAGTGGAGGTTGGGAGTCACAGACACAATCACATTTCCAAGGTCAGGATAGAAACATAAAGCCGGTTATAATGGGAAAGGCTAAAAGTAGACTTCTCAGCAGAGATGATTTTATGAATTTTTAGAGTGAGGGAAGCAAAATCGACAGCAGTAATATAGATTCCATAGTCTTTCTCATCACTAGCTATATGTTATACCAATATTATAAAGGATATAATATATACAGGTATATACTTGATGAGCATAATAAGACATTATTTTAAACAGCTACATATTAGTATGTACTCAACTAAAACTTCTTTGGGGAAAAAAAATAATAAAACCCCAAACCGTGCAAGAGACAGGCATACTGTGTCTTGTTGATTGAAATGCATCAATAACCTACCAGTGGACAAACTGTAGGAAAAATGGGGACTGAAAACCCATTTTTATATTCTGTCAACAATCAGCCCAGTCATTAAAACTAGAACTCTAGAACTGCCTATATTGCTTCATATGCAAGTATACATATTAAGTATGCACCTTAAGTCAGAGCTGTATTTTACTAGAATGTATTGTGCTATTATTTTTATATACAATTTTCAAAATATTTCTGTACCCTTCTCGTGGTTCCCACAGATATACCTGTAATACAGATTTGCTCTACCAGGCCTTCCTAGGGCCCCACAGTCAGGAACTCAGGACAGGTAGGCTGGGGGCCAGTCCCTACAACGAGCCTACAGTTTGTCATGGCCCCATTCTACCTTACTCTCAAATCTCTTCTTCCTTCAAAGCATCACCACACCCTGCCCAGGTGGCTTTTTATTCCTCATCCCATCACTCATTCATTGATAATTGCTTTCTATCAGCTCTCAGCACACTGGTGTTTAAAATATGTCATGCAGAAAGAATATTTGAATGGTGCTTCCCACTTAAAAAAGAAAACTCAATTTGAAAGTTGATTCTGAATTTCCTTGCCTCAACATAGAAGGTGAATTGATTGGAATTTCTGAAAGGTCTGATTTCTGAAAGGAATTTCAGAGGTCAGTTCGTTGAATCACTCTATTGCACATGGGGTTACGGAGATCAACAGTGGTTAAGATGACACAGCTTCTAAGATGTAAGGACCTCCACATGGTCTTTTGGGAGCCAAGACCTTTGACATTTCTGTACTAAAACGATTATTTCCAAATTGGTTTTTAAAAATGTTTTACGTAAGATGTATGATGTTTGGCTAAGATGCTTTAAGTCAATCGTATTAAATAAAGGAACAGATATAGCCAATATCCAAGATGCATAATTTTATAAAATACAACTTTTTCCTTTGTAAAAGGAAAGATATCCTTGCTTTGACTCAGGGGAAAAAATCATAGCTACTGATATGCCCCACAATTAGAATCACAATAAAATAAAAGCTACACCTTCACTCATAGGTTTCCAACTAAAATATATTAAACTAAATTCACACTTTATTACCATTCTCAGTTTTGAATACGTTTCAAGAATTATCAATTTACAGGACCTCCAGTTCTGTTCTATGACCTTGGGTGGCAGGAAAAATTGAAAATTTGTTTTATAAGCAAGTGACTAAAATACCTGTGTAGTAAGCCCTAGAAAAGGTGAAAAAATGGCGACTCCATTGCGAATGCTACAATGTCTGAAAAAGAATTCTACTGGCAAAAGAAAGTCCTAAATAAAATAAATTCCCGTACCTTGGGAGATCTGAAATGGCAGTTGAGAGTGTCTCTCTTGGTGAAGGCAGACTTCCACCTGCCTTTGAAGTAGACAGCATTCACCATCACCATCACAGCAGATGAGCTTATACTGCCTTCAGGGAAAATGTTCTTGATTTTTCCTTTAAAAAACAAATTGAGAAAAAGGTGTTAGTAAAGTGTTAGTGTATTGACGTGTTACTGGTTTATAGTAATGTGTGCAAACGGCAGGAGTGAAGCTTCCCCGTACTATGCATGTACAAGCGGCACCTCCCCACCTCACACTGTTCGTGGACCCCCTTAGACCACTCTGCCCTCTCTGCACATCCTTTCCCTTCCCTTTTGATAATCGTCACACTTCTCACAATACTAGAGTAATTTTTGTTGTGATTTGTTAGCTCATTTTTTTAAATGATTTATTTATTTATGTATACAGAACTGGGGTACAGGCCAGAGGGGCAGGGGCGGCGAGAGGCTTCACCAGAGAGGGGGGAGCAGAACGGGCAGATCGAGGAAGTACTGAGGGGAGCAGCGGGCGGGCCAGGAGAGGTCTGCCGCACCATGTGGTCTCCTCCGGGGTAGGCGGGAATCGAACTCATGCGGAAGTGGCTTTAGCTTCCCAGTGCTGTGCTTTAACCCGCTGCGCCACCAGGGAGGGCCTGTTAGCTCATTTTTAACACAAGTTTTAATGTTCAAAAAGACCTATTAGATAGTGATGAGGTTTTTCCTTGTAATAATTAGTATAATAATGATGGTATTAGTTCTAATCTTGAGCAATTACTATGCCTAACACTTTCTAATTTCTTTATGTGCCGTATTTTCTTTATTTCTCACAAAATTCCTGAGGTAGACCCTATTATTGTATCCACTCCTTATTTAGGAAACTGGGGCACAGATAGATTAAGTAATTTGTACAAAGCCACACGACGAGGGAGTTATGGTAACAAGATTCCCACCCAGGAAGACAATTTCCAGGGCCTCTCCCTGCTTATAAGCACCAAACTGCCTTTACCGCATTGAGGAGGCCATAGCACAATATAATTTAACTCCATTCCATTGAAAGGGTTAATTACTTCCTTCATTCCACATGAATGAGAGTTTTGCTGGATGCCAAGCACTGCACTGGAAACTTGAATCACAGCAATGAAAAAACACAGCTCTTGCTATCCCTGGACTCACAGTCCAGTTCTGGGGAGGCACCCATCAAGCACAGGAAATCCAAGCACAGGACAGGGGCACCCAGCTAGGCCGGCAGCCTGATTGAGCAGATGCAAAGCTGGGAAGTGGGTAAAAATTCCAGGAAGCTGAGACTTTTCAAAGAGTAGGAATCTTGGATGAATAAGGTGTAACTGGGGAAACCTCAATTCATTCCAGTGTGGTAAGGAAAGTAAGGCTGGACAGTTTGGGGGCAGAGGTCAACTAATGAAGAGTCTTGAATATCTGGAAAGAATGTTGGATTGTCCTGAAGGTGATAGAAAATGATGGTTCAGAATTCACTGGAAAGCAGAAAGTATATGATCAAAGTGAACCTGATTTGCCAGCGTGGCTCAGGCAGTTTGTAGAGAATGGGGTGGGGGAAATAAGCTTGGGTGAGTTTGATAGGATATTAGCAGCATTTTGAAGTGTACCCCAAAGTGAATATCAAGAACATGTTTGTGGGCCTGAGAATTATTATATAGATTTGCATAGAAAGAAAGAGAAACAATTGACCCAAAGGGAGAAAAGTATTAGTAATCTAATACCCATAAGTACTAAACATTAAATAGAACCTATCCCATTATTAGGAAAGCAATTGCCTACTTCCTCTTGATTAATAGTGAAATGTGTGTTTACTAATGACCGTCTGCTAATATGATATGAAGGAATGTACAAAAAGAAAGTTGAAACACTGTATTCTTGTACCAGAACTAAATATGCTACTGAATGTCTACATGTGACAATGCACATCACACACTTCATATTTTTTTTTTTTAAGATTTATTTATTTGTGCATACAGAGCTGGGGTACAGGCCAGAGGCTCAGGGGCGGTGAGAAGATTCACCAGAGACAGAGTGGAGAGCAGAACAGGCAGATGAAGTACACTGCTGAGGGGAGCAGCGGGCGGGTCAGGAGAGGTCTGCCACGCCATGTGGTCACCTCCAGGGCAGGCGGGAATCGAACTCATGCGGAAGTGGCTTTAGCTTCTCAGTGCTGCGCTTTAACCCGCTGCGCCACCAGGGAGGGCCCACACACTTCATATTTTTAAGACAAGAGTCAGATTCAGCAAATAATTGTATATTTTTTCAAAGTATAAATCAAGGTTCAGCCTAAGGTAAAGGACTTAGACTTAGTAACTTAGGAATTTGCTGATTAACAGAACAATGAACAGATTTCCCTATTTGTTTTGGATTAACCTAGAACACCAGCTGGAATTCAGTTTTCAGCTATGAAAGAAATATAAAAGTAAAGAGATGTGCTTTGGGGGAATGCATGTATGTTATTTTGATAAAGAAATTTTCAAGTGTAAAATAAACTATGTTCCTCGAGAGGAAGCAATGAAATGAAATTTTTTTCATTGAGTACAGGACATCATCATGTTAATAAGATATTTTAGTCAAGAGAGCACTGGGTTGATCATTAGGATGGTGTGTTATGCTGTGTTAGTTGAAAATTAAATCCTACAGACCACTCTTTGTTCAGTAAGCATTACCTCAACTTGCCACTAACTTATGAAATGTTCGTGATAAAATGTCTTTGTCTCACTGGATTGTTTCCCAATTGAATGAGATCATGTAATAGACAAGATTTCTGAAAAGGATAAAGCATTCAAATTATAAGATTACTCAAAACCACATTGCAGACAAATACTAAGGCAATTTAAATAACAATGATCGTTACTGGGGATTGGGAGGAGCTATTCTTCATATGCAGAGGACTCCCAAAGTTGACAGCTGTCAGTATTCACATACAATTGGTAAATTTTTTTGGAAAATAATAGGGGAGTTCACTCACCATGTGTTTCATCTTCTATCCATTTATTAATCTTATATCTGGTATCTTCTACATCATGTGTAAAGTCAATCCGTTCCACTTTGGCATGGTATAGCTTTTCAGCACACCCAATAAAGTTCTAAAAATAAAGTGGTATACATTTTGTAAGTAACATGCTGTCTTTTAGTTACAATTGGTACCAACTAGGCATAAGAATATATATATATATGTGTATGTATATGTATGTATGTATATGTATGTATGTATAATAAATACATATTGTAAATAATACATATGCACAATATAGGTATCATTTATATATAATATAAATATATATAATATATTGTGTGTATGTATATATACATTTATATACATGAACATATATATATACATATATATACATATACATATATCAGCTACTAAGGAAATGAGGTGAAGGGATTGGGAAAGACTTCTAATAAGGAGAGACATCTATGCTTAGTACTAGATGATGGGGGAGACTGCCTATGAGAACTATGGGATATTCCAGGAAGAACGATGCTGTCCAAAGACCTCAAGAGGGAACACATAGTACTCCTGAGGAGCATCAAATAGCTGCATTTGGTTAGAGAGCAGAGCATGACGAAGATGGCTAGAAATTATGTGTATATATCTGTGTGTGTGTGTGTATATATATATATATATATATATATAATGTATTAAAATATTTATGTATACATATACATATACATATTTGAACTTGGCTGGTCATTTCCACTGCCTTACCCAAGGACTTGTTCCTTCTTCAAAGATAAGAAAATAAGACTTAAAAATGGAAATATGATTGAAAGGGTGAGCTGGAGACTGGAAGTTTAACTTGCAGAACAAACACACTGCTTTAAGTTTATCAGAAATGCATTGGGGGAGGCTAATAATTGTTACAGTCCACTCCTTTCTCTCTACCATTAGTTTGTCACCATGAGTATACTAGGCAGTCTCCTGTTCCCTTTGCTGGTGTCACTTCCTTCCCACTGAAAATCATTCAAGGTGACTTCTTGCATGTAAGTTGGGAAGTAACGCACAAATATCGTCAGAGGGTACCCTAATAAGTCTTACAGGATTTTCCACCTATATAGTGAGAACTGGGTATTTACCCATTGTCTGTCTACAGGATTGTTTCCATAAGATAGCTTTCTGTATAGTTTCCATGAATGAAATTTTCATTTATCCATCCTTGAATCCATTCCAGCACTGGTTATGAAGAGTAGTTTTAGAAGACCTGGCCCAGAGAAGTTCATGAGTACAGGCTACCAGCATTCCCAGAAAGCCATTTTAAAAGAGCTGTGGGGTGGGTATTAAAACCCTTGTATTTATATTTCTAAAAAATTCTTTTTAGTTACTCGATCTTGTCAACCTCCTTCAAACACTATTGTTTGTCATAAAAAGAAGAAATGAAACTTAAATGACAAAACCATTGAGGTAGGTTGTTCATATGCTTGTTGATCATTTAAATGTTTTGTAAATGCCAGTTCAAGATTTTCTACTAGACTGTTTGAATTTTTATATTTGTTTGTGGGAGTTGTATTCAGTTATCAGTCTGTTGGTGCCTATTTATTGGAAATGTGTTGTTATAGTGCAGCTTACCTTCTAACTCTTGGTGATTTCTTTTAATGAAAATTAGTCTTAATTCTAATGCCATCTATGCTGCTTTATTCTATTATTAGTTAATATGTGCTTGACATTTAACATAGTTTCAGGAGTATGGCATAAAGACCGTATATTTTAATATATTACAAAGTCATCTCACAAGTATAGTTACCGTCCTTCACCCTACAAAATTAACAGGTTTTTTCTTTTTAAGATTTACTCTTTTAGCAACTTTCAACTATGCAATACAGTATTGTTAATTATATATTAACCATATTGGTTAATACTGGATCCCATCTTTGTATTTATTTTATGGTTGGAAATTGATACATCTTTACCCCATTCACCCAATGCCCCCGTCTCTGCTCCCCTTTGGCAAAAACCAATCTGTTTTCTATGTTTTCAAGCTTCAGTTTTGTTGTTATTGTTTATTTGTTTGCTTTATTAGATTTTACAAATGAGTCACACATATTTGTCATTATTGGACTAATTTCATTCAGTGTTAAAAACCTCAAGTTTCATTCATGTTGCAAGGTTTAATTCTCTATAATTGCTGAGTATTCCTCTATTATGTGTGTGTGTGTGAATGTGTGTATAAGTTGTGGTATATATGAGTTACATGGATTCTTTATTTGGGATATTAAAACCTCTGTCAGATGTGTGATTAAAAAATTATTTCCCATTCAACAGATTGCCTTTTCATGTTGTTTATTTTCTGCCACTGTGTAGATGGTTTATATATATACATGTGTGTATATATATATATATATATATATATAATCCCATCTATTCATTTTATACTTTGTATGCTTTTGGAGTCAGATTCAAGAAACTATCACCAAGACCCATGTGAAGGAGTATACCACTTCTGATTTTTTTTCTAGAAGTTTTATGATTTCAAGACTTATATTCAAATCTTTATTTCACTTTGAGCAAATTTTTGGGTGTGGTGTTAAGATAGTAGACTAGTTTCATTCTTTTGTATGTGACTGTCTAGTTTTTCCAAAATTAGTTATTGTACATATTGTCTTTTATCCACATTGTTTGTTCTTTCTTCCTTTGTCATAAATTAAATAACTATGGATGAATAGGATTGTTTCTGTGTTTTTTGTTTCATTGATCTTTGTGTCTGTTTTTGTGCTAAGGGTATATTGTTTTGATTGCTGTAGCTTTGTAATATAATTTGAAATCAAGGTGTGATGTCTGATTTTGTTCTTCTTTCTAAAGATTACTTTGGCTGTTCAGGGTCTTTTGTAGTTCCATAAAAGTTTTAGGATTGCTTGTTCAATTTCTGTGAAAAAAAAATGTAATTGGAATTTTAATGGGGATTGTATGAGATCTGTATATTGCTTTAGGTAAAATGGCACTTTAACAATATTCTTTCAATCTATTGCACAGATTATTTTTCCATTTGTTGTTTCTTCCTTAATTTCTTTCAATACTATTTTACGATTTTCAGTATAAGGATTGTTTACCTTCTTGGTTAAATTTACTCTTAGGTAGTTTAATTATTTACTTGGTGTCATTGCTAATGGACTGTTCTCTTTATTTCTTTTCTGATAGTTCATTTTCAATGTACATAAACACATGCTTTTATATCAAGATTAGTGCTATAGGTTATAAAACAAAGAACAATTTGCTCATCTACGGTTCTGAGGTTAATAATCTATATTTATCTTCTAAAACTTTATTTCACCATTCAGATTTTATATTCATAATCCACTTGGAATTTATTTTTTGTAATTAGATAAGCTCCTATCTGCATTTTAAAATATCTAGCTAGTTGAACCAATGTCATTTGTTACACATAATCATTTCCTTTTAAGTCAAGTGTTCCTATGTGTAAGTCTGCTTGAGAACTATGCATGTCCTGTAACCTGTTGTTTATCTCTGAAAAATATCCACAGTCTTAATTACTGTTGTTTTAAAGTCTTGATTTTCAGTACTATAAGTCCTCCAAATTTTGTCTTTTTCTTCATAATTGTCTTCATTTCTCTTTATTCTTTGCAATTCTGTGTAAATTTGAAAATGATCTTGTTGATTTCTTCAAAATTATATGCTGCTAAATGTAACATAAATATGGAGATAATAGACATTTTTACAACATTGAGTGTACTGCCCATAAACATGATGTATGCTTTCTTTTTAAAGTTTGATTTCTCTTAACAATGTTTTTCATTTTGTGTACATATATCATTAGGTTTATTCTTTGGTATTTTATGGTTTGTAATTCTCTTGTAAATAATATAGATAGTATAATTTTAATTTTCTAACTATCATTAGTACATAGAAATAGAAATGTATTATATACATGAAACTTGCTAAATTTACTATTCCATCTACTAATTTATTTATAAAATCCTTCAGATTTTCTATGTATACATCTGTTATCTGTAAAAAGTGACACTGACCTCAGCTCAGTGTGCTATTGTTTATGACCTCCAGTGCAATTTTACAGAAAATTTCCTCTTTTTATTCCCAGTGCCAAGGGGAAAACATCTGATATTTTACCAAGAATATTTTAGGGAGCAAATTCTTTTTCTAGATTGTAAAAGTTTTATTTTCTGCACCTATTGAACTGATACTAAGTTATTTCTCCATTAATATCACAATATAGTGAATTTCATTTATTGGTTTTGAAAGTTAAATCAATATTGAATAATTTTATCAGTCATCCCACCATCTCTTGTATGTGACCAATACTCAGGAAATTGCTGTTGAATATTGACTTAAGCGGGTACATGAGTTGTGCTTTAATTTTAGCTGCCTTATTATATCTAATTTCCATTTTCCAAAAATCTGCTTATGCAAAATTTAATGTTAACTATTCATTCCTATTGACTGTGGAACACAGTTCTCTCATTTTTCAATGAGGCAACTGAAATCTAGACAATCAACTGATTATTGAAAGATAGAGAACTGTAAAATGAAACAGGACTGAGGTCTTCTGACTCACAGCCTACTATGCTTTTCATTGTACTTGAATGCTAATAAAAAATCAACATGTGATCCAGTGCTTAGCATTTAATACTGTAGGGATTAAGGTTGGGAACTAAAGTCTTCAAGAACCTTGTTCTCCTGATGTTCTTTTATCTCTGTGGGTTGTTGCTGTATCACCATTAGCTATCTGGGCCCACCCTCTGCATTCCAGTACCTGTAACACTTCACCTCATTGTCTCCTGCATGGATGAGCTGCTTGAGTGAATGACTGCACTTTGTGTTATTGTAACGAGAGGGGACCCACTGAAATTGCCCCATCTTGTAGTCAAGAAAAATGTGTTTTGTTTTGTTTTTTAATTAAAGTAAATAGCTTTCACTACTCAGAGCACCATCATTATATCATGATGTTTGAGCTATGTTACTCGTTTTTCACTTTTTATAATTTTTATTGGTTTATAACGTTATATAAATTGAAGTTTACAGTATTAGGCCTCAACATCTGTATACACTAAATCACGAGCACCACTACAGACCAAACTGGAAAAATTCTAGTTTCCATCCATAACCATTCAGCCAATTTCTTTTAACTATTTTACCCACCCTCCAGTCCCTTACCCCTGTGGTAACTGCCAGTCTGTTTCTGTATTTAATATTTTGTTTTCATCATTTTGTTCTGCTTGTTTGTTAACTTTGCATTTGTACTCCATGTATGAGTTAAATAATAGGTATTTCTCCATCTGAACATATCACTTAGTTTAATACATTCAAGGTAAATACTGAAAAGACTTCTCCAAAAAAATTACTGAACAATAAAGAAATTGTTGCAAATAAACTTCATAGCAAAGAAATGTAATTAAATAATCAAAGATAGCTTTACCAGCAACAGGATAATAAAACAAGATTTGATAAGGATAGTGTAATACATGTAGAAGTATGCCTATATTGCTTTTATCAAATTGATGGAGATGCTAGTTAATGCTATAGTGATAATCATGTAGTAATAAACCAAATCAACACATTGTACACCTTAAACTTACGCAATGCTCTATTTCAATTATATCTCAATATAACTACAAAAACTGTGACTCTAATCACGAAGAAACATCAAGGAAAGCCACATTGAGGACAGTCTAAAACTGGATCCTATACTAACAATCATCAAAAAGGTCAAGACTCTGGTCCCTCCCTGGTGGCACAATGGGTTAAAGCTTAGCACCATGAAGCTCGCAACAGTGCTTCAGCATGAGTTAAATCCCCTGCCCCGGAGGTGACACACATGGCTAGGCAGACCTCTCCTGACATGCCCACTGCTCCCCCCAGCAGTGTATGTCAGTCAATGTGCCTGTTCTGCTCCCCAGTCTGTCTCTGGTGAATCCTCTCACCACTCCTGTACCTCTGGCCTGTACCCCAGTTCTCTGTGCATAAATAAATAAATATCTTTTTTAAAAAAAAGGTCAAGATTCTGAAAATCAAGGAAATTCTAAGGGGTTACTCCAATTTGAAGAAGACTAACATGACATAACAACAACAAAAAAACCACAATACATAACAACAAAATCCAAACCAAAATGCATGATTCTGAACTAAGTCATTTTGGCATGAGAAGTGATGTAGAGATGATGATAAAATTCAAATGGATCAGTGATCAACTGATAGTATTGTAACAATGTCAATGTCCTGATTCATGTGGTTGCATTGTGGTTATGTAGGAGAATGTCATTGTATTGTAAAGATTATACTAGAATATTCAAATATGATAAGACATCTCAAATAATTTAGGAGAAAAATATTTCCTCTATAGTACTTGTAATTTTTCTTGGAGTTTGGAATATTTAAAACTACATTTTCTTTTTTTTTTATTTTTACTCCCAGCACAACATCCGTGGACATTCCTGCCACTGATCTGGACTCAGGGTATTATTGAGAGGAGAATATTGATAATAGATTAAAGAGTGGTTCCAACAGGTAGTTTGCTCTGGTAATAAAGCTAAGAAAGAACTGATGCATTGAGAAAACAGATCAAGAGACTGAATGACTCAATGCAGTTGAAGAACAGGAAGCGTGGGAATTAAACAAGGAAAGAAGGAGAAGCATGGGATAATGTGACCAGAAAATGTGAAATTAGAGTTGTAGATTTCAGAAGTGGAATCACCTGAGTATTGATGAGTTTCAGGGAGTGGCTTGGGCATCAGTTACTATTATGGAGTGGAGAGAGTTCAGGAAACTGTAGAGAGAGAAGCTGAATCATTGGTAAGGTCTCTGGAGTTACCCAGATGGTGACAGACCTGGACACCATGAAACAACACTACAGAACTTAGCCCCCAATGCTTATTTAACATGATTGAGGAAAGGGGGAGAAAAGGGCATCAGAGATGGGGGTTGAGATCTGTAATACTAGTTTTTGTAGTATTTTACATACAATTGTTATTGTATAAGTTGTCAAATATCATTGTATAAATTGTAATTTATATACAGTTATTATTGTTTCCACTAATTCTAGTAAATGAATCCCTATTCAATGTTGATTTTAAGTTAATCACGTAGAAACAAAATATAAAAAGTCTAGAGATGATCTATCTTTGTACTGGCTTGACTAAAGTTTGATGATAGTTACATTTTTTTGTCAAGTAGTTTTTAGAATAACTATTGGTAACTGTCAGGGAACTGAATTGGCATTGTCCCTATATTCTTGATCAGATTTCACATTCACTGTGCTTCTGGATGCTTGGCTCTGAGTGCCAAAAAAGGACCATGGACCTTGTGCTGTACAATGTAGTCTCCTTCACACATCAACTTCCATCTAAAATAGCTAGCTGTCCCCCTGAGACACATCGGCATACATGGGAATAGAGACACAAAATGTGAGACGAAACACCTCGGGGTGTGCCAATAAATAGTGTGTAGGATTTTCTGGTGAAGTTTTAAAAAATACAACGTGGCCTAAAGCTTCATAATTGACAGGCTGCCAAGGGATTTGGGAGTGGTGCTGGAGGGGCCAAGAATTTGAGTGGGTGACAGAGCAAGCAATGGTGTCTGGGTGGAACACAGCTGGCAAAGATGCAAGTGAAGATTAATCAGAGATGGCACCGAGGCAAAGGTCTACAACTTTCTGAGAAGTGGAGAAGTAAAAGGGAGCACAGACATTGCCACTGCGGCTGCTTGAATAGTTCTAACCAGCTCCTGGTTGTTCCCGCAGAAAGAGCACTTTCCTCTACAGAGACGGCCACATGTAGCGAGTGTTCTGGGGCTTGCTGGTCTTTGAGAGAGCAGGACACTATGATCAAAGATAACACAAACAACGTACAATGACACTGCTAACCTCGAAGGAGCCCATCCCCACCTCTGTGTCAGTCTGAGCTGCTCTTCTGCCAATGGCTGACCTCACTGGCCGGGTCTCTACTTACAAAACTCCCTTTATAAGGCAGTTTGCTTAAAAACTCCAGTAAGTAGGGCCCTTCCTGGTGGCGCAGCGGGTTAAAGCACAGCGCTGAGAATCTAAAGCCGCTTCCACATGAGTTTGATTCCCGCCTGCCCCGGAGGTGACCACATGGCGCGGCAGACCTCTCCTGACCCGCCTGCTGCTCCCCTCAGCAGTGTACTTCGTCGATCTGCCTGTTCTGCTCCCCACTCTGTCTCTGGTGAAGCCTCTCACCGCCCCTGAGCCGCTGGCCTGTACCCCAGTTCTGTATGCACAAATAAATAAATCTTTAAAAAAAAAAAAAAAAAAAACTCCAGTAAGTAGCTCCTGGAAGGAGCAATAAATGGATGTGACTGAGAAAAAGGGAAGTGATGAGAGAGACCTTGGCAGTGGAGATATAAAACCACCCAAGTAGACCCAACGCTCAAAGGATCTCTCCTCTGTTGCTCAAGGATAGCCTTAACCACTGCTCCCACCAATTCCAGCTCCACTTCACCACCCACAGACAAGCACTCTTCCATCTTGGAGCCTGTCAGCCCCCTGATCGTGAACATGTGGCTCACACAGGTGAAGCAAAGTGGAAGCAGGGTGATGACAGTTTGAAAAACCTTTGGAGCATAACTAGTAGGGAAAAGCAAAGAACCCCTTGTGTGACTAAGTAGAAAAGTGTGACCCCTTGTTTAGCGAGTGAGTCGATGAGATGCAGAGTAACTTCCCCACCAGGGCTGCACTTACCTTGTGAATGTCAAACACTTTTTCTGCAAAAAGACCATTGGCAATGCTGAGTTCATAATCCTTGTGGGATGAGTTTATATCGGAGAGAACTCTTTTCAGTTGAGATTGGAGTCCTGACTGTTATTTAAAAGATGTAAAAAATTTATTCATAGAATGTAAAGATATGCATACTCTTTTCTACATATAAAAAAAAAAACCATAGAAGAATTGAGAAATAACCACCTTATAAAGGTAACAGAAACACTTCATGCCTCTACCCTCCCTTGCCCCAGTCAGAATAACATCTGTGATCAAAGTTAATTAAAGGATTTACTAAATACTGAAATAATCCCAAAATAAAATTAACAGATGATAATGAATCAGCTTAATACCTGTGCTAAATAAATTTTACCAAAGTTGGTTGTGACTATCAATGAATAAAAGCAACCATGTCATTCCATGCTAGCTTATCAATTCTGGCCAACACACCAGTAAAGTATTGATAGATAAATTATTAGCAAGTAAATTATCAAAACCTGTGTTTGAACTATTCCTACTATGGAAATCCAAATGAGATCAAATGCGTTCCTTTGCTCAAAAGTTACGGAGCATAATGAGATACATCAGTAGGTCAGTCATTTTTCCAAATTTAGTCTATCGTCTTTCTCTCTGCGGACGGTCTTTACCTGAGCATCAGAGTAGTTCCCACGCCCCGAGATGGCACTAAAATGCAGCATCTGTGAGCAAAGAACACACAGCAGTGAGCGCAACAGGCAGGAACCTGGAGAATCAAACAAGGGCTGAGGCTCCATTGCGAGTGGTGCTTGTGTATGTTGGCACACAGGGCAGGGGTGCAGTGTGCAGAGTAGGAGGACAGGGGTGCAGTGTGCAGAGTAGGAGGACAGGGGTGCAGTGTGCAGAG